TCAAGGAGGACGAGGTTAAGGGGAGTGGAACTAGGTGTTGCCCCCCATTCATCTCAATTTTAGTGGCAGTATAAATTATGGTGAAATATGAAATGGAGTTAATGTTGTAAAGAGGGGTGGGATAGTTTTAAAAAGTGGGTTGTTGACTGTTGAAAATTCTTCTGCTTCCCTCCTGCCCCATTCAGACTTCCCTGAATGTCATTATTCTTGCATATATACTGTGACATTCAGTTGCTTAGATATATCTTTGTGGGGTATTAAAATAATAATTAATAAATGGCGCTTGGGGTACGAAGTGGTGTGGATTTATTTGTTTAATATACCGCACCAGTTGAAAAAATGTAACTCAGTACACTATTCTAAGAGTGGAAACAGAACACAGTCAACATGGTTAGTAGCCATTGATAGCCTACTCCTCTTCCACGAATTTGCCCAGTCATGTTTTAAAGCCATCCAAGTTGATGGCTGTCACTCCTCTGAGAGTGATTTCCATACTTTAACTGTCTGCTATTTAACTTTCCTGCTGGAGAGGGTAGTTTTCAGTTATCCTCCACAGAAGCCAGACTAGCTGAGATTTCTGCCATACTTCTTGCACGTTCCATTCCTTGCCCATCATAGCTTCTGGGCTGGAGCATCATGTTGAACCTGGGTCTGTTTGGACCAGTCTCTGCTAACCGTGGCCAGTTTTGGGTGCCGTGTTGCCCTTTGCCAACCTGGTGCCCTCCAGTTGCTTTGGAGTACAAGTCCCATCATCTCCAGCCAACGTGGCTGTATAATTGTGGGTTCATGGGAGCATGGCGGTGCTGGGCTGCAGCTGATGGGACTTGGTCCAAAGCATTTCACATGCAAGTTGGCAATTTATTCAAAATGGGAGGCAGTAGTTTGGTATCCTCCATGGTGCCCTTGGAGGCCTAGAACCTCCCTCTTAGGGCCTTGTTGTAGACTTTGGTGTGGTCTTGAATGCTCCATGCTCTAGAAGTTCTGGTCTACCTTTCTGAACACACCTATTTGCAGAAGGAGGCTGATTCTGGATATGAACCGGCAGCCAATGCAGCAGAAATGGCTACTGTTTGTTGTACCAAGTGAAGTTTAGAATACGTCTTGAAGGACAGACCCATCTAGACCCCATTGCAGTAATCCAATACGGAAGTTACCAGTATCCACTGAAGGCCTTCCTTTTCCAACAAGACTTTTAAGTGGAGATCTTTTGAAAATCCTAGTCTGTATCTACATTGACTTAGAAATTTGTATTTACTTTTCGTTTAAATCTATTTGGGATGTTTTACGGAAAGAAATTCATAACATAAATAAAAGGACCCCCAGTTTTCCTTCTGTGCCTCTGAGATGCCCGAATGCCAGAGAGAAAGGAGCACAGGAGCTGTCCAGTGCGTGGCAGAGTGAGGCAGTGGGCAAGCTATATGCGACTCAGGACCCTCCACCAATGTGGGTTTATCCCTATCCCTCATTGGGCTTCCTTTTCCAGGCCAACCTCTGGTTTGATACTGATACATGGAATTTGGAAGCAAGAAAGATTTTCATGCGGGAGCATCCAAAAGGATATTTTTTCTTTGGCACCCGGTTGGTGCACCTGGATATCCTGAGCCCTTTTTGTTTTCTAGCATCTGGTGAGTGGAGACAAAGTCTTGAGTTACATGAGTGGCCGGTGTGAGGTTTCTGATGGGAAGCCAGTTCAAAGGTAGATAAGCTGATGGGTTATTTTTCTCTCTCTTTTTTTTGAAGAGCAATGCAGTTTCCCCTCTTCTGTTTTTTCCCTGCCAGCAAGGGCCAATTTATTCTTTTAAAGTCCCTTCTTATTTTAATTTTTGAAGCATTTATCTATTTGTTTTGGGTCAGAAGCTTCAGATACCAGGCGCTGTTGACTTGAGTGTGACTCTTTTCAACTCCAGTCCAGCTGGCTGAGACGCAGGACGGAAAGGAAGCTTCAGCAGAGGGACTGCCCCCTTTTCTTTTCTTCCTTTTTTGCAGCCTAAATCAGTGAAGGTTTCGGCTACGTGCCTGTTGATGTACCCTAAGGGGCCCAGGCCTCTCCAGTTTTATAGCAGAGCGAGCAAATAACATCCATTCTTCAGGATAAATGTTGTTCGACATTTCTACCTTTTTGAGGAACTCCCTTGGGTCCACCTAGCTCAGTATTGTCTATATTTGTGGTTCCCAATTTGTGGTCCATGGACCCCGGAGGGTCCACATAACCCACTCAGGGTTTTGTGGCACATACCTGTCAACTGTCTGGGACACCCCATTTTCGGGTGCCATGGTCTCGTGTGGGAACACTGCCTGGAAGACGCATGTCTCAGTCTAGCGCTGGGACATGTTGGGGGGGGGGTATGGTGGCACCGTTCCCATAACAAAACCTACAACAGACATATCAACGTTTTCAAAAGCAGGGGGTTCCTATCTTGGCTTTTGAAAAACAGAGGGTCTGTAGTACTTAGCTAATGGGGAACCACTGGTCTACACTGATTATCAACAGCTTTCCAGGCTTTCAGACAAAAATCTCTCTTAGTCCTACCTGGAGTTGCCATCAGGGCTTGAACTCGGGACTGTCTGTACACAAAGCAGATGCTCTACGTTGAGCTGCAGGCTTTCCCCCTTTTCTGCAGAGAGCCCGCCACATCTTCCTTGTGCTTTCCAGAGGATCTGGGTTGTGTGTGTGCCTGGAATTGACTTGCTCAAACTTGCGCCCAGAGTGGCTGGGGCAACCCAGTCAGATGGGCGGCATAACAACAACAACAACTGGTTCCAGGGTATAGGTTGAGGGCACACAAGGCCACCCCCTTTGCCTGAAGCTAAGCAGGTCTGGGTCTAGTCAGTACCTGGAACAACATGTCCATAATGTATTTATCAATACTGTATTGTGTGCGCCACTTTGGGTTCCAGAGGGAGGAAGGACAAGATACTGTCTCCTACAAGAGGCAGTGGTGTCTACCAGCTTGCATGGCTTTTAAAGAGGTTTAGAGAAATTCACGGAGGAGAAGGCTATCAGCGGCTACTCACCCCGATGGCTACGTTTTTACCTCCACTGTTGGAGGCAGTCATGTTTCTGAAAAACCAGTTGCTGGAAACTGCAGGCAGGGAGAGGGCTCTTGTTCCCAGGTCCCTCTTGTGGGCTTCCCACTGGGGCATCTGGTTGGCCACTGTAAGAAGTGGATGCTGGGCTAGATGGGCCACACTGCCTTCTTGTTATGTTCTTAAAGGTAAAGGGACCCCTGACCATTAGGTCCAGTCGTGACCGACTCTGGGGTTGCGGCGCTCATCTCGCTTTATTGGCCGAGGGAGCTGGCGCACAGCCTCCGGGTCATGTGGCCAGCATGACTAAGCCGCTTCTGGCGAACCAGAGCAGTGCACAGAAACGCCGTTTACCTTCCCGCCGGAGCGGTACCTATTTATCTACTTGTACTTTGACGTGCTTTCGAACTGCTAGGTTGACAGGAGCTGGGACTCAGCAACAGGAGCTCACCCCGTCGTGGGGATTCGAACCGCGACCACCTGATTGGCAAGTCCTAGGCTCTGTGGTTTAACCTACAGTGCCACCCGCGTCCCAAGCGCCACCCACGTCCCTCCCACAATAATTCTGCTGTACTTGGACAGATGGGTCTCCAATAACATGTCTCCTCCGAATCTTTTGTTTTCTGCGCAGTTGTGACTTTTTGGGTGGCTACTAGTCATGATGGCTATGTACTGTACTCCCTGCGCCGGAGGTGGCCGAATACCAGCTGCTGGGAAATGGCTGCAAGGAGGGGGAGTTCTTTTACTTTCAGGCTTCATATAGGCAGCTGGCTCTTCACGGTGGGAATAGGATGCTCAACTAGGTGGGCCTTTGTTCCAATCCAGCAGGGTTCTTATGCTCTTATGCTTGCGGCCTGCAGCTTTTTCTATGGGTGGTATAAGGCTAGATTGACTTCCTCCAGCCTGCTTTGTTCCACTCCATAACTTCCTGGCTTTTCCTATTTGAAGGGAAGACACGTTGGTGGTTTCTCCTATGAGAAGCAACCTATGATCGGATTAGGATTACTTTAACAAAGCTTGGGGATTTGGAATTGAAGCCAAGGCAGGAATTCAAAACATCTTGTAGAGCTGGGGGAAGGTTGCTCTGTTGTTTTAGGATTTCCTGATAATGAGCTATGTTCTTGGAGTGTACAGTGAACTTTGGAAGAAGTACCTGTTTGGATATATTGGTTGCGGAAATTTGGCATCAAGAGATAATCTGTATGTATTGATCTTTGTTTTTGTTATTAATCCATGTGTCTTTATATTTATATGTGTGTGTGTGTACAAACACACATGTACGTGTGCATACACACCAAATCTGAAGGCTGTTTACAATACAAAATCAAAACTCTAAAACATATATGAAAACAGAATATATTTGCACATATACAAAATGCTGGATTGCTGAGCAGTACGATCCAGAATGGACGGGGGGGAGAAAGTGAAGTTCTCAGCAAGTATCTAAAAGATGCTGTGGTTGGTGTCTGCTGGATAACATGGAGAGCGGAATAAACATTTTAATACTTCCATGTTTTGGATTGCAGTCAAAATTTCAATAACCCAGTTTGTGCAATCTGCTAGTCCCCATTGTGCACCTCACTGCAACTGGACGGTTGCAGTGGCTGCTGGCTTCATCCTGATCTCTGGTACTGCATTTGGTGTGTATTTGGTTTTGTTTTTTAAAAATCTGGATTCTGTCAGTTATTCTGGTTGAATTCTTGTGCCTGTGAGATTGTTATTATTATATATTTCTTTATGCCCGAACTTTTTCCCTGATGGGACTCAAGGCGGCTTGCATATAAAAAAATGAGAACTGCTAAAAACATAGAAAAAACAATCATTAAAAAAAATAAACTATATACATGTATAAAATCTGTTAAAACCATACAAATAAGTATAATAAAAACAACATGGCACCAGCCCTTTCATTAAAATCAGTCCTTTCCCAAAAGCCTGTGGGAGCAAAAAAGTCTTTACCTGCTGACAGATGTGGACAAGGAGGGAGCCAGTCTGACTTCTCTAGGGTGGAAGTTCCAAAGTCTGGGAGAAGCCACCAAGATTCTGATTTAGTCCTCCTAGTCTGATGTCGAGTTGAGAACAGACATTAGTCTTGTCTTGCTCATGAGGAGGACACCCCCCCCCCCCGGTTGTACTGTGGATTTAAAGTGATACCATCAATTCTGTGAATTTAAAGTGATACCATCAATTATCTGATTTTACGTCTTTGGAAATCAGTTGCTCAGGCTTTCATGCTCACATCCATCTGGACCTGGGTTAGTAGCACTGAAATCAGAAGAAAAACATACAATTTGCATGATGAGCCTTTTCCAGATAATGTAAACATAGACATCGAATCAACATCCTAGGTACCATAGCTGGTGTCATATAGTGGACGAAAGCATGATCTGTGGTTCAAGAGATCTCCAGTTCAATCTTGCCTTAGCCATGAACTCACTTGGATCCACTGCTTTCTCAGTCACCTACCCTGTTCCAATATGTGATAACTAGCTTCATCTGGATCCAACATATGGGATTGCATCCAACTAAGTTCTCGTTAGAGGAGACCCACTGAAATTAATGAACCTATCTATGTTAGTCATTCCCATCAATTTCAATAGATCTGCTCCATGGAGAACGTAGCTGAATGCCACCCTTAGGCCAAGATCCAATGCTGGGTCTACTTAGAAGAGACCCTTGGAAGAAGAAAAATGGACACAAGAAGCTGAGGTCCAATAATTTCAACAGGTCTACTCTGAGAAGGCTGGATACAACTCTTAATATTTAGGCAGTGCCTTTTGACTAGCTGACATCCTTCATTTATATTAATTCTGTAATCCTTCCAACAATCTTGTAAAATTAACCTGTATTGCAGTTAAGTCTCACTGAAATTAGTGGGGCAGATCAGTCATGACATAAGAGCGTTTTGGTGAGATTGAAGTACAACTAATTTCATCTAGATCAGTTGTTCCAAAACTGTTTTGGGCTACCGTCCTCTTCGTCTCGTAAACTCACTCCCAGTGCCCCCTACCCTATGAAAGGCATTATTCAGAATAGTGGTTTGCATGAACCACTAAGGAAGGTAACAACATAAAATTTTTTGAAAACAGTAACAATTAGTTGCACACTCACTCAAAATCCAGTTAAAACTACTTGGTTCAATTCGTTCAACAAAATTGATGAACTTGGTTCAGTGAGAACAGCTTTTCAAAGTCTGATAGGCATTTACACCTTCAGCCCCCCCCCCCCCAGATGGTGGTACTGCCCATTTTGGGAACCATTGAATTTAGATCTATAGTCCATGGAGCTGGTTTAAAAGCTTTCAGTGAAAACAAAAACACATTCCTGTGCATTTTGGGGGCAAAAAGTGTTACCGTATGTGTTAGAGCCGCTTTTCACTTGGCGTGCTGCAGAAAGCAACTTTTCATCACAAACAACAACATAGTAGCCCTTTGGCAATAAGCTTCAGAAATGCCTTTGTTTATCACGGTCCAGTCTATGGCCTTCGCCATTCCTCCTGTCCTCCCCTCCTCCAAATGGAAAAAATAATAATTTCTAGAAACTTAAACCAAAAGTTAAAGGATCTCAGGGGGGTCATCCTTCCTGTAGGAAGCAGATTTTGGCACCTCTTGCTGATATTGTGGTGGTGGTGGTTCTCGGGGAGAGACGGCCGGGCGTATCAGTTTCAAAGAATGCCGTGTGCGGCTGATATGACATATTAATGAAACGAAGATTAATACCATGTGACACTGCTGCTGCTTAGCTGTACAAGCAGGGGCTAACGAAGCTAATTGAAAACATACTCCTGGTTCACAAAATTATAACTTAGTGACGGCTTGTGTCAGAAAGGAATAATTTTCATCCCATCTTGAGCTGCCTCTGGAGCGATCTTGGCCCCCTGGCCCTAATCATGTAAAAGATCAAACACACATCCTAGGCTGGTTAGTGCAATTTCAGAAAGAGGCAAGCGGGAGCAAAGACTAGCATTTCAGCACTCCCACCCCCCAATAATTAAAATTAGACTTCACTAGTTTGATGCTATAGAAATGTGCCCTGAAAGTATAGACCCCCCCCCCGGAAAAAAAATATCCAGGTTTCTTCAGAATTACTTTGGGGCTTCATCTCATGCTAGTCTAACAGAGAACAGACCCATTGAAATTGATGGGCATGACTAACACAGGTTCATTAATTTCAGTGGAACTACTCTGATTAATTCTTAGTTGGATATAACCCAAATAACTTTGGAAGAGGAAAACCTGGGATATAATTATTTCTAAGATACATTTGGCTGCTGTGGTGTAGTGCTTAAAAGTGAGATACCAAGGCCCAAATCCCACTGCCATGAAGCTCATTGGGTGACCTTGGGCCAATCCCTCTTTTTCAGTATAACCTACCTCACAGGGTTGTTCTGAGGGGATATAAATGTAGTAATCAGTGCTTTTTGGTTTTAAAAGAACATCCCAGAACTTATATATCAAGCATAGAGCTGTCAGGGCCAGCACAAAATGGCTGCCATGGTCAGCAAAATTAAGATGTGTTGGCACTCTGTACTGGTGAGTACTGTCACACATACAAAAAGCCATGGTGGTGACAATGATAATAATAATTATAATACGTACTAAATAATAGCAATAGCAGCTCAGACCACTTGCTGCAATGGCGCTATTTTGGTTCATTGAATTTCTGCTTCTTCGAAACAATGAAGTTGCAATAATGTAACTACTCAGATCTGACTGAATAATAGTAATATTAATAATAATTGATGATATAATACAGCACAAGGCTGCCTTCATGCAATAAGCTCTCTGTCTGTCAGCTGAGAGGCGGGTCCTTCCTAGGGGAAAGTTTCCCACATTGTCACCAGGGTGCCTCCATTGTAACAATACTGGGGCTGTCACCAAGGAGTGTCGGCTTTCTCTGCAATGTCCCTAGAAGTCTTTCCTCTCAGTATCTCTTCAGTTTTGTTGTCATTACTTATTAAGTCTCTCAGTATGGGCTTCCTGGAGGTGTCTGGTTTTTGACTTTAGGATGGTGGATGAGACTGTCCCTTGGCCTGATCCAGCTAGGCCTATTTTTAAAGTTTTATTTTAAGTATGTATCTGTTTGCGGGTGAACCCCAGCAATAGATTTACACAGAAGGATAAACCTCAATATAAATTTTACGGTAAAAACGGAAAAGAGAAGTGACTAAAGTTTTTGAAAGCATTCCTGTTTACCCAGGCAGACGAATACTGTTCCTGGCAAGTCTGAGATCACTGGATAGAACAATGTTTTTAACTGTAACTGATTTTAGATGCTTTTCATTATAATTGTTTTTAGAATGTTTCATCTGTTTTGTTTTTTTCTCTCTTTGTTTTTATTTTTAAATTGTGGATCTGTTTGCCTCCCTTGGCCCAATGGGGAGGAAGGGTGGGGTTAATAATAATAATAATAATAATAATAATAGTTATTACTATTACTAGTCTTTGGGGACCTTGAGCTTATGTTGCAATGCTGTTAATTCAAGGACTGAAACAAGTTGAAAGAGAAGAAGTCATTTCTTCTTTTGAGCAACTGTGTGAAATAGCTGCAAGGTTGTTACCTCCAATGCAGCCTTCTCCAATAGATGTTCCCAGATGTTTTGTACTGCAATTCCCATCAGCATGGCCATTTTGGACTCTCATCTCCCAGCAGTCCAAAATATCTGGAGGGCATCAGGTTGGGGAAGTCCAGTCTAGTGGTTGGAACTCACAGTTCCCTAGAGACACACAATGACCCCTGAACAAACCAAGATAACCAGCAAAGGAATTTGATAGGAATGCTTGTTCTTGAGTATAAATGGGTTGTTATTTTGGGACACAGCAAACACAAGTTGTTGTTGTTTTTTAAAAAGAGGAGACAGGGAAAACTTTTATTTTAGTGCAAATGTTCCCCTTGTTTTTGAATGTGGATATTTGTAATTATAGGGCAGTTCTTTAAAAGATTGGGGACCACAATAAAGTAGATCCAGAAACCAGACAAGTGCTTTCGTTTACTACCCTTGTAAACGCATTTCCTTCCCCCTCTCTCCACCACCATGACCACTGTGGAACGCCAACAGCTTAGCAGCAACTCAAACCAGCTGCCCAAGATGTTACTTAACCCTCCGAAGGGGCTTTCAACTTAATAGTGTGTCAGAAATTGATGGTGAACTTGGACGGTGCCTTGGTACAGCTTCACTTCTGATTAAATGGAACTGCTTCCAGCAGCTCTCCATGGGGTTTTAAAGCACACTGCTCCGGTTTTTATTTAATGTATTGTTTTGCTTGTTTATCTCTTTTTGTGGGAAGTCTCCAGTGGCACTGCCTTGAGTTCTTGAATGGCAGAGTGTCACAGGGACTGATTTTGGGTGGATGGGCACTGTGTTTTGGGAGAAGGGGATCGTGTATGAGATTAAGGAGGGGGGCTGATGTTGACATCATGGTAAGTGAGATTTGAAATGACAAGATAGGCAAGAGCTCAGTTCTGAAGATCAGAAACATGACTGGCAGTGGCTCTGTAGGGTTTCGGACAGTGGTCTTGGGAGATGCTGAAGATTGAACTTGGGCCTGGTCTGGAGGCTCTAGCTTGTGCAGAAAGCTGTTGCTCGACTGTTGATGGGGACAGACGATCGCCATCACATAACTGCACTGCTCAAAATTCTGTACTTGCTGCCCTTAAGCTACTGGGCCAGGTTCAAAGCTTGCATATTCATATACAAAGCCCTTAAACAATTTGGGTCCAGGCTACCTCAAGAAGTGGTAGCCCCTCATGGCTCAGCTGTATGACCACTAGGGGTTGTGTTGTGTTCTGTATTGTGGGCCCAGTTTTATGGAACTCCCTTCCATTTGAGGTCAGGCAGAACCCCTCTACCTGGTGCCTACTGTAGACTTTCCCTATTTCAGCAGGCATTTTAATGGATGTTTGATTCCACAGTTTTAACCTGTGTTTATCTTTCATATTACATTTTTGAAAACCACTTAAGAGACTATTGTGGCTAAGCAGTATGAGCATGGTTTAAATAAGAACAACAACCTGGGACCTGTAAATCATGTGCTTTACCGGTGAGCTACGGTCCTCCCTTTCAAAAACCAAACAATTTGTTACATGGAAGGTACTAGCACATAGGCAGCTATGAGAGCATTGACCCATCTAACTCAGGGTTCCCAAACTTTTTTTTTCTCTGGGTCACACTTTCAGAATGAAGATTTGCTCAGGCCATGCCAAACTTTTTATTGATAAGAAAACGGCAAGGTCTCCGCTAGCCCTGGGAGAGCCCCGCGACGTCGCACGGCTCTCCCAGGGCTAGCGGACCACTGCGCTAATCCCGAAGCTTGGGGCGTGCAGAGCTCAGCGCGCCCCAAGCTTCTGGGTGCCGGCAAGGTCTCCGCTAGCCCTGGGAGAGCCCCGCGACGTCGCGCGGCTCTCCCAGGGCTAGCGGACCACTGCGCTAATCCCGAAGCTTGGGGCGTGCAGAGCTCAGCGCGCCCCAAGCTTCTGGGTGCCGGCAAGGTCTCGCTAGCCCTGGGAGAGCCCCGCGACGTCGCACGGCTCTCCCAGGGCTAGCGAAGCGCTGCGCTAATCCCGAAGCTTGGGGCGTGCAGAGCTCAGCGCGCCCCAAGCTTCTGGGTGCCGGCAAGGTCTCCGCTAGCCCTGGGAGAGCCCCGCGACGTCGCGCGGCTCTCCCACCGCTAGCGGACCACTGCGCTAATCCCGAAGCTTGGGGCGTGCAGAGCTCAGCGCGCCCCAAGCTTCTGGGTGCCGGCAAGGTCTCCGCTAGCCCTGGGAGAGCCCCGCGACGTCGCGCGGCTCTCCCAGGGCTAGCGAAGCGCTGCGCTAATCCCGAAGTTTGGGGCGTGCGGAGCACAGCGCGCCCCAAGCTTCTGGGTGCCGGCAAGGTCTCGCTAGCCCTGGGAGAGCCCCGCGACGTCGCACGGCTCTCCCAGGGCTAGCGAAGCGCTCCGCTAATCCCGAAGCTTGGGGCGTGCAGAGCTCAGCGCGCCCCAAGCTTCTGGGTGCCGGCAAGGTCTCCGCTAGCCCTGGGAGAGCCCCGCGACGTCGCGCGGCTCTCCCACGGCTAGCGGACCGCTGCGCTAATCCCGAAGCTTGGGGCGTGCGAGCTCAGCGCGCCCCAAGCTTCTGGGCGCCGGCAAGGTCTCCGCTAGCCCTGGGAGAGCCCCGCGACGTCGCGCGGCTCTCCCACGGCTAGCGGACCGCTGCGCTAATCCCGAAGCTTGGGGCGTGCGAGCTCAGCGCGCCCCAAGCTTCTGGGCGCCGGCAAGGTCTCCGCTAGGCTAGCGGAGACCTTGCCAGCGCCCAGAAGCTTGGGGCGCGCTGAGCTCCGCACGCCCCAAGGTTCGGGATTAGCGCTCTGCTAGCCATAGCAGCCTGCTTCCCGGAGCGTCGGGCGCCCTGAAAGCAGAGCTCCAGGCGCTTCGGGAACACATCCGCAGCGTGGGGAGGCTTGCAGGAGTTCCCCACAGGGCTCCCCACACTGCGGATAGCAGCCTGCTGCCTGGCGGGTGGGGCGCCCTGAAGCAGAGCGCCCCGCGCGCCAGGCAGACATCAGCCAGCCCCACAAGCTCGGGGGACAGCAGGGAGGCGCAGCGCCACTATCCCGCTGTTCCTCGACCTGGTTCGGTTTCCCTGACCTGCTTTTGGGGGGAGATAAAGGGAATTTTTTCCCCCTTTATTTCCCCCCAAAAAAACTAGGTGCGTCCTATGGTCCGGTGCGTCCAAGAAATACATTGGAAGATGTAAAGAAACAACTCCTAACAGTGCTTGATTTATAACATAGAACACAACTACTTTATAATATGATCACTGTCCTTGAATCTTGTTGCCACACTTGCCATCCTCTCCTTTGAGGACCACTGATCTAACTCAACAGTGGCACTGACTCACCAGGGTTTCAGGCTGTGAGTCTC